ATTCCTGCAGGAAGGTTAATAAGACTTTCAACAAACCAAAAACCTGAGCAACAGGTAATAAGGGAAAAGATAATCTCTTATAATCTCTCATTAAAGACAAGCAAACAAACGTAACTTGGAGGGTGTGGATGGTATAACTCAGCCATTCCTACACCAGAACCAGTACAGGTTCACTCAAACCATTTTTCAAATGTGGAGCAGGCAGGATCCCAGCCTGGAGGAGATCACTCAGGAGCCAGATGTGCTATCAGCATGAGTTCAGTCCCATCCTGCCTTCAACAGGCTTCTTCCCACTCAGTGACTTACTGGTACCCTTAACATCTGACTTGACTTACTTTAAAAACTCGTATTTGGCAATAATACTAACACGCCTTAGCTTTTATGAGCCACTCCCTCACAGCTTGCAAGGCAATTCCCAACGCATCTCTATTTCCAAACTGCAGCACGGAGCATCCAGCAGCCTGTAAGGGATGCAGGCAGTGCCCAGGAGTCAGCAAATCCATACAAGCATGGAGACCTCTGCCAACAGCGAGCACCCCCAGAGCATGCTGGACTTCCAAGCAACATTTAAAAAGAAATGGGAGTTAAAAAAAAAAAGGAGCACATGAACAGCAGTCTGCTTTGCAGGTTACAGGAGTCTCTGTGGGACCGGAGGGGACTCAGATCATTTCACACTCTGGGCTTTATCCAGAAAATGCTGAGCGCTAATGCTTCATCAACAAATTTCTGCTCGGGGGGGGGCTTTCAGTCCACATTAAACTCATTTTGGGATTCAGAACCCAAATTCTTGGTTTATTTGCATTCTGAGGACACCATCCGAGCCAGATACCACCTTCCTGCCTCAGGAGACTGCCAGGCAGCCTGGATGCTTTGCTGCAGCAGCCTGGCTCCCTGACTTTGGCCGGAGTTTCTTTTCCCAGCCCTGCACTAGCACTGTGCCTACATCTGTGCTCCATCCCCACCTCCACACACAGCGCTGGCTGCTCTCACTGGCCTCGTCACGGGTTACAGCCAGCCTTGTATATGCTCAGGTAATATATGCACCTAATTATGCACATATTACCTCCTTCTCACTGCTTCATTCTTTGACATGTCAGATTTTTGAGGCCACAACCACTCTGCTTGGGTGAAAAGTAAGGTGAAAAGTCATAACGTCAACATTTCAGTAGCAATACCAGCTCCCAAAAACTAAAATCCAGCTAACAGATCTGAAATCGCAAGCAAGTTATTAATTTTAAACAACACTGTGATAAAAATAAAAATACAGCAAGCGTGCTCTTGCAAGAGACCTGCTTTGGAATAAAACCCCAAAGCCTCCCAAAGAGGGACAAGCCAGTGATTAGGCTGTTAGCTTAATTACGCTGGCACTCTTGTGCAAGAACAGGTGCCTTCCGAATGCCCAGCATTTATACAGGCTTTCCTACTTATAGGCAGCATTAATTGGATCGCCAGCAAGAAGGCATGTTACTAAAGAAAGGTGCCCGGCAAGGGACAGCCACCCCAGCCAGCAAAGCAGCAGGAAGGAGCCTCTCCGCACGTGTGCTCGGCTCTCATTAGGTTAATGCCAATTTCCTGAGCTGGAGGCCCCATGCTCAGGATTATCTGGTTATTATTTAGGTAACTGCTTCAACAGCGCAAAATCAGGACATTTCAAGCCCTGTTGCCAGCTCTGCTATTACCTGATATCTATGTAGGCCACACTGGGAGCATCCCACCCCCCTTCCTGAAATGCCTCTGTCCCACCAATGTCAGCAGGAGGGGACACTCCCAGGGCTGGGGCACCCACGGTGGGCTCTGGCGGTGACCAGGACCCCGGCTGGCAGCTGGGGAAGGAGGGAGCGGTGCCCCACACCCAGCACACAGATGTTTTGCAACATGCAAAACCTGCTTACGTGCTCGCACAGCTCTTCTCCGCGACTCAGGGCTTCATCTTTTTATATGAAAATCCCCCTCCCCAACCTCCCAGCTCCATGAGCAAGACACATGCGATTGACAGGACAGAAAAACCCGCTCTCGAGAAATCTGCAGGCATGCTGCTTTCACATAAAGCCGGCTCCAGTAATACCGCAGTATCTCCTTTCCAGCATCCCCAGCCTGGGAACAGAGCTCTACGCAGCACAGAGCTGCTCAACGGCGGGACCCGACCCCCTGCGTAGTGATGTGGGTACCCCCTTTTTTGCTCAGCCTCCTCTACTGAGATCCCACCGTGGAAAGACAAAAGCTGAACGGTTCCCATGGGGAGGGGTGCACGGGAAACACCGAAAAGATGCCGTTCTCGGTTCACTTGCTAAAACTTAACCATAAAAAAAACCCCATGACACGCAGCAGTCCGACGTGCATCACGCCAGGAGGTGTCAGAAAGAAGCCGGCCCCTATGGCAAGCCAAGCCAGGTGGAAAGGGAACCGAAAGCAGCCTGGTACCGCCGGGATACAATCCCTTTGGAGTCCCCCGTCCGGCTCTCGCAGGGGATGGCCAACTGCCCCCGGAAAGCAGCGGCTGTAAAACCACTGGAAACTGTTTTGGGGGAAATCGGGGCTCGGCTTGACTGGCTGGGGCAGCCAACCTCTGGGAAAGGGCTCTGGGGTCCGGACGGTGCCGGCGTAGGGGTGAAGAGGGGCTCACGCGTGGCTGTGGACCAAGCGACCCATCTCCGGTGGGAGCATCCCTCCTCCTGCCCAAGGCGAGGCGGGGGCTCAGCGCCATCCCTCCGAGGGGGCTGGGGGATAGGGAAGGGGACGGGGGACGGAGGTCTCACCTGAGCAAGGGCTCCTTCTCGGGCGCCGCCGCCTCCCCTCC